GATTACATAAATAAACATGTAATAAATATGACTATGCTATCAACTGTAGTAAATACAAAACACCTATGATCGGAGTAATTTATTAATTTTTTGAAGAAATAAGAGAAATACATACCATCCGAAATGAAAAAGAAAACTGTATAAGTGTATATAGTTTCTGCGTAGTTTTTATCAAAAATGTTTCTCCGTAGAGGGCATCGGAAACTGCGTATGATAGAAGCGAAATTTTATGCTCTTTAAGCGACCATTTAGTAGTTAAACGTTTGACTACTTATTTACGGTTACAGTCATCGGTGCATGCTTAGCTGGAGCCTTATGCGCTTTCATGCATGTAATTGGCTTACGATAGTGACGCACAATACGTCCGTGATTAGACATCTTGACCCATAATGGCAAGTGAGTCACACCTCTTGTGTGACTGACTGTTTATGGGCATATTCATATGGCGATCACCGTGCGAGTACAGTCCTTTTATATGAGGTTTAACGGGTTTATTTTTTTAATATAATACTAATAACAACTTCAGTATAAGTTTAATGTGCTGGCTCCTAATGATTACTGAATTTTAGGATTGACGGTCACTCTTGGAATTAAAGACACTTCTGAAAACAATTCGTAGCTCAGCCTATAAGCATATTTTGAACTTAAAAGTTTCCAAAACTGCTATAACTCTGCGTGAAACTGATAACTACACTTGCCATTTTCAGGATCGTATTTTTGCCACATTTCAAGTGTAGCAGACATTTAATGTAACCGTCAACATACTCTGGTCGTTACCGTAATTAAAAAAGTTATTTTTTATAATAATCTTTGTATATTTTGCATATACATAGTCTAAAATCGCTTGTTTTCTTCGAAGTATGTGCGTTTACTGAGATTTTCCATTTTCTCGTGAAGTATATAGGTTAGTATAGAGGTTCATGGATGGCTAAACTTTTTCCATGGCCATGGTGTGCTTATTTATTGTAGTATACCTGACACAAATATAATAATATGATTTTTCTACAATAAACAAGTATTGCTCTGACATATACTCGCATGTGTGTTACACGTAATCAATTCATGTATATCAAGCTCTCATTCAAATAATAATCAATTAATTTTTTATGACGTTCTATTTTCGTTCGTTTCTGGGTGTTTCCAACGGCGGTTCGTGTATGAATAAGCACTAAAAAAAAGAAGAAGTTCGTACTGAATACTTCAAGTGGTATGGGTCACGGTCAGGCGTGAGAGCGTCGAAAGCAAATGCACCCAAGGCTTAATATGCTCGAAAATGTTTCGTTTTTGTGTCAGATCGACCTTGCGCAGCTCTCTATATCTGGTAGAGCAACCTTTTCCGATAAAAGCTATAATTTGCAGTGGATCGCTACGTGCACTTTCTAGCTAAACTTAATTTTAGTCCAATACCTCTGATTTTATTAGAAAACTATACAGAAGCTTTATATGGAATTATATTTAGTAAAACAAAATATGTATCAACAAGAAATTGTACGAGGTCTACATTATAGTCGTTCTTTCCCCTAAGCAAAAGCTAACTGAAAAAGTATAAAATTCTACTATGGTATTTTCAAGAGGGAAAAAGCGGAGTTTAGGACTTCGAAGTCCCTTGAAGTCCCGAAGTCCCATGGAGTCCACTGAAACCCATGAAGTCTGCTAATTACAAGCAGATGAAAAATGTTGTAAGGAACCGAACATCGTTGAAGATTTCCAGAAAACCCTTTCAAAAACCCTCTTACATTCATTTTTGAAATCTTGCAAACCCTTAGGTTTGTTTAATTTTCACACACTATTTAATGGTGTATTTGAAAGTATCTGTTGTATGAAAAGATTGAGAAATTTTGGTTTTAAAAAAAGTTGAACTTTTAGACTTTAAAATTTAAATTTAAAAGGAAAAGAGATTTTTTGATAATTCTTCTTTTCAGAATGTCTCTAAAACATTTCTCTACATGATGCAATTATTGAAAAAATTTTCAACTTAAGAAGAATATCAGGAAAAAAGTTTTATTAGAAAAGGAGTTCCCAAAAATCATGGTTTTCTGAAAGTCCTACTTCCTGATGCCTTCAAAGCTTTTCAACATCACCACTAGAAAGGTCATGGTTTGAAACCTATGAACCTCATGTTTCATTAACTATGGTTTAGTGCTTCATTATGAAACCAGCTTCAACTTTTTGATCTAATACGCCTGTTGGGATTTTTCCGATATTCAATATACTCACATACTCAGCTTCTGCTTGGCAAAGCCTTGTTTCTGTATCTTATCGGAGTTCAAAACTTGGTATGGATTTCTGAACTTCATGGCACTTCACGAAGTCCGGGTCTCCCATGAAGTCCCGACGTCCTCAAGTCCACTTATTCTCCCTTGGTTATTTTACTAGTTCAGTTAATAAAGAATTATCTGATGAAATCGGCCCATGCTTGAATTTCATCGACTACAATCAAGGACTAAATGTAGAACGACGAGGGGAATATTTCTAAATGCTTACAAGGCCTTACAATCACCCTCAGAAAAAAATTGGTTGAATCAAATTTGATTTTCTACTCCATCTGATATATATTATAGATCCTATTTTTGGATCTTTCTCTCTCAGTTTCACAATTCCTCATGACTATCATTCGAAAGCTCTTTTTCTTTGCTATATCTCTGTATATCACATATACGGAAACAGTTGTTCAGAGACCGTGTTTAAAAATACTTAAGACTATGAAAAATGATCTCTCTCCTACGTACAAAAGCCTCGGATATTCTATGTCAACATTTCTCATCCGACCACTACAATAAATATATCATTCGGAAATATCTCATAACGTGGTAACTGATCGAAAAAGTAAAGGATTTCTAGTGTACCAAAAATGTTTTAAACTGAGAGATACAGATAACGTAGAAAGAATAACGTGTTATATAAACAAAACTAAAAGAAGCTCTTTCTTCTAAGTAGTGTACAAGTTGAGCTGTATAGTAAAAATAGCTTTTCAAGTTTTCAAACAGTATGCCAATACGTCTTTTTACCTGTGTTTGTATGTTGAAAAAGGTTGAACCGAACTCTCGTATTTGTAATCGCTGTCGTCATTCTTATACTAATTGGAAACGTAACAATCCTAAATTTGATCAAATGATAAAACAAATGGGTGGAGGCTTAAATTCGGATAAAGTGTCAAATGATGAACAAGTACGTCGTGCCGTTTTTTTTCTCCAAGCGGTTTTGCCATTTCTGTGTTTCTTCTGTTTACACTGTAAAAAGTGTAAGGTAAATTAACATTATCTTCGGTTAGTTTTGCATTATAACCTAAGCTAATACTACCCACTTTGTCTTTTTGGTAGTTTTATTCTTTGTATTAATGTTAATCTGCTCTATCGACACTTTTACTGTAAAATTCAGCCTGAAAGAACACCTTGCTTTAATGTTAATTCAAACTAAATTCTGTATAATTTTCGTTTAGTGTGAGCTCACATTAAAATATAGATATTAGCCTATATTGACATTGAAGATTGGTTTCTATTTACATTAGAGCGAAAATATGACACTCAGACACGTGTGAATTTACCTTTTGAGGAAAGTATACATGAACGATAAAATGAGTTTACATTATACTGGATTATCTTTTCTTCTCTGATTTCGGTAGTTTTCTCATACGTAGTAATGTTAATGTGCTCGATCGCCATTTACTTTTTAAAAGTCAGTATGGAAAAACGCCTTACTTTAATGTTAATTAAAGTGATTAATTTATCAAATAGATTATATTCAACCAATAATTAATGTGTATAATATTTATATTATTATGTTAAAAATTAGCGTTTTATAATTGACATTTTCTGTTGTGTGAGCTTTTTTTCTAACATAATCACACGTACATTGATGAATTTTTGTTTTTGTGGTACCAGGAACAGATATAAATTAAGTAGCTTTTTTGGAGCATTCAGTTCTATCAATAGCAGTCTGTACTATAATTTTGCAAAAATAGATAATTTACTCCAGCAGGCAATTATACCATATAAAAACTTCTTACAAGTGCGGCCGACTTTTGAGAAGGTTTTATGGGTGTTGATGCCACTAAGGATTTTCCTTCGAAAATAAATGACAAATTCTCTTCGCTATAGACAGCCAGATATTTTTTTATTCTAATTCTCAGTTTTTTTTGTATCATGTCATTGGTTTTTTAAACAAACTCGAAAAAAAAAATAAACATTGAACAATTATGAGCTTGATTTCAAAATTAAACAAATAAGGAAATAAATATATATAATGTGAACATACGCTACGGCCAGGCACATTCACACAAAACGAATACAAAATCTAGTGTGAATACATACAAGCAATAATTTTTTCTGTGAATTTTCTAAACATTGAGACAAAATGAATTTACACCGAGAAAGGTTTTGGAAGATAAATCAACCGTATGCTTTAATGTGAATTAACACGATAGAAAAGTTTTTAAAGAAAATGTATATATAACCTAATATTTAGTGTAAACTTATCATAGTGGAAAATTCACACGAAGGTGGTAGGCTGCCTCTAAGATCTAATGTGAACTTTTCTTACAATCTAGTGTGAATTAACACGATAAACATTTTTTTTAAAAGAATGTAAATGCAACCGAATATTTAGTGTAAACTTATCATAGCGGAAAATTCACACGAAGGTGGTAGGCTGCCCCTAAGATCTAATGTGAATTTTTTTAACAGTGTTGATTGTAGTCGATGAAATTCAGGCATGGGCCGGTTTCATTAGATAATCCTTTGTCTAGTATTGTAGAAAATGTTTTTCTTCTAGACCTACTTTCTCCTTCGAGTCAGCCACTCGCTCTCAGCTCAACCACTGCCTTGCAAGAACAACGATGGTCGTCAGAACTGTCGTAATACTAGCCTGCTGCTGCTTGTTGAGAATGTTCTTCAGAATGTAATGTGAACAAGAAAGATGATTATTTATTCTGTAGAAACAATTTGATACTGGCAATTCCTTTCCAGTCAAGGGATAAATGAATCAGAATGATGGGTGTCCTCTCAGTTCGTCCCAAATTGACTTCTCAATTCGTCCCACGAAGCTTTTTTTCTCAGTTCGTCCCAACTAATTCGTCCCAGAATTTTTTTCTCAGTTCGTCCCATCAATACTTCTCTCTCAGTTCGTCCCATATATTTTTTTCTCAATTCGTCCCAGATATTTATATTTGCGCCTAAAAATAAATAAAGTGTTGTACCTTCGTTTAGTCGACGGCGATGGTATTGTAGACAGTACAAGGTCCGTGTCCGTAGCAAAATACCATCGAACAGTTTAGACGACGGCGATGGGTATTGTACACAAGAATAGGTGCGCGTACGTGGCAAAATGTGTCGTGTTAGCCACTACTATCACAAATTTAAATCTAAATAAGTTAAACTGTTTTGTTCATCAAAATGTTAATTTTCACGTCTACTGAAAAAGACAAACCAGT